ACGTCCCGCAAGTCCTCGATCCCCGTGGAGATATCCGTAAATCTTTCATCCATCCCGTGAAAACGTTCATCCACTCGTTGGAAACGTTCATCGATGGCCTGTTCGATTCCGGCGTTCCTCTTTGGCGGCATCGTTGATCGTTGCTGGTCTGCTGATACCAACTGATGTAGAGCGTATGTATGATTGGGAATAACACGAACAATTCACAAGAGAATACTTCAATTTTTCGATAAAACAAGTCTGTCTTCCAAAAGGGAGAAGACGATCTTTAAATACATCAGAAATCCCTAATCTTAAAAGTTCTGCAAATAACCAAAAAGGCCCAAAACTAATAATAATAATAAAAAGAGCCCAATAATAAATAAGACTAATAATAATAAATGAAGCAAACTAAATACGAAGACGATCATATTTATTTAAAAACGCTATCGCGGTCTCGTCTCCATCACATATCAACCTGTAAATTTGCCTATTGTATATGAGACGGGAAATTTTCATTCTTCATATGTACATTATTTACGTGGTTCCCTTGTCTACTAAATCACCATAAATGTTAAGAGGATTACCATAATTAAGTTGATTATTGAGATTTAAATTTTAATATGAAAGTTCTTCTATGCCAGAAAACAGTGCATTACATTGCATATAATGTAAATTTTAATATTGTTACTTCCATTTTCCACAAAATTTAGTTACTGGTCCTTATTCATTCTAAATCACCTATGTTTTCCATTTTGGTGATGTTTTGCATTACATTTAAGATTAATTTCACTACGAACTTAAAGTTGGGTCACAGTTGGAAAAGACATGACAAAGATTACATTGCATATAATGTTCGTGATACTTACCATATTTGATCTATGTCGTTGACTATATTAGTATGGTGATTGTCAGGGTTTAACTGTCATTTGTAATGTGGTGAACGACACGGTTGTTTCATTGCTAGTACATGAGATGGACAAGATTGTTGAGATAAGACAAATATAACTTAGGCAAAGCAACGATATCTGCAATTTGAAGAATAGACTTTTTTTCTTATGGAGGAACTAAAACTAACATTGACAAGCAATATACGATGCTACGCATATCATAAGACGTTGTACGCTTATATATATGAATGTGACTCAACAGCATCTAGGCCAACACAAGACGAAGGAAAACCATCTTGTCCTTGACGCATTTGGAGTTTCTTTAGAATCTTCTGCTTGTGATGCCGGTGGCTCGGGTTTTTCTGGTACGACTTTCAAAGATTCGGGTTTTCCATGATCGTTGACCAATCTGGAATAAAGGGAAAAGCAACGACAGGGTCAAAATCTAGTTTAGTTTAATTCTAACAGTGTTGTACAATACAGAGAAGGATGATAGTAATATAGTGATGAATATTAGTTGGCTAAGAGAAGTAAATGTCAGGAGGCCATTGTAGATGAATCATCATTACACAGCACTAATCTGCATATAATTTGGACAAACACACACATATTTTAAGGAATGGCGGGACATCTTACACTGGGAAAGCGAACGAGCTGCCACTGTTGTTTCTACTGTCGTCCGAAAAGCGAGGCGTTTGAGGGTTACTGGGCATTCTTTCAGCTGCTGCAGTTGTTGTAACAGTACTAATAACCTCGGCGGGAACTTGTTTTCCGTTTTCATGTTTCAGCAGAGTAGTATTTGAGGTTGTGTTGTTCTCCTTCTTTTCATGACTTTTCATTTTAACTCCTCCACTGTGGGCCATCGGGCTCTTCCCCCCTTCATCCAATGACACCCGACCTTCCTCGATCACCGGGGAAAGTCCTATCAGCTCGCTCGATTTTAATTGCAATTTATTGTTGTTGTTGTTATTATTATTATTATTATTATTATTCCAGTCGTCGAGCCTGGGGAGCTCGCCGGACATCCTGAGCTGGGATTCCTGAAGATCGGCCGATTTTCCAAATAAAATGGCATAATCATGCGAGAAGCTGTTGTTGCCCATGTGGATGCTGAAGAGGGACTCATTGGAGGCCACACTCCACTCGCCGGGGTTAGTGGGCTTGGTAGAGAAAATCGATGCAGGTATCCTGTTGGGATCGTAGCCAGAGGGCTGGGCCTGGCCCTGGCCCATCGTTTGGATCGGAGGTGACAACATCTCTGATTCGCCTGGAGACAGGTTGTGGGCTGCAGGACCCATCTCGTGTGCCGGAATTCCAAACGAATTCTTTAGGTTTTGGCTTTCGTCTTCTTTGTTTAATTTCACCTGAATTGTTAACCTGTCATGTTCTGTGTCCATTGTATTGCTTGTCTCATTTATCTGCAGTTGAGGAACAATCCAACTCTATAACCTGAAATTTGGTTCGTAGAACCTCCCGAATTGACGAATTTTGCAACATATAACAACACAACTATAATTTAAAAAAAAATGGAAATCTGCCCTAAAGAACAACAATTCAGGCATATATATATATATATAGCAACAACAATCTAAGGTCGAAAAAAATAAGAAGAATTTGATGTCCTCTGAAATATTGAATGATCCTAATAAAATATTAAAATAACGTAATAAAAGAAAGAAAAGGGCATACCTAAATGATGAACCAATATAATGAATCGCGCAAGAGAAAACACTCACCCCTTGATTTCCAATGCAATGTCTAATATTCTTTTGTAGGGTGTATGAGCTGTTCAGGTATCATATACCAAAGAAAAAAATTCAACAAATGCACGTACGGATGATTTCCAGATTTGTCTGTTGAAACCAAATAAAATAGCAATTAATGTATTTGGATTTAGGGTTTATTCTTGAAAATAGATTAGGATTTCATTTTTTGGTTCAAAGGAGGGCCAAGCATCCATTGCGGACATTCTCACCAGCCTTTGATTTTAGCCAACTGCATGGAAAAAATCTATTCATATATAGGCATGAATACGCGGGAAAGATGAAATCTCGTTTGTTTCACATTTGTAAATAACTTTACATTTTATTTTAAAAAATAACATATATATATATATATATATATATATATATATATATATATATATATATAGAGTTAGGATCATATGAGAATGACTCACCATGAAAGAAATAAGAATAAATCTAGATCATTGGATTTACTACATCAATGGATATGATGAAGTCAAAATTGAATAAAAATAGTCAAACACGCAATGGCATATAGGTAAATAATTGGACATCCTTTGGTCAAATATACTCATCTGAGGGCAATTATGTAAATTTCACCACACTACCCAATCAGTGGGCCCCTCTCACCACAACACGAACCCACACTTCATCTCTCGCACAAATCACACACTCATACATTTAACAGAAAAGGTGCGACCGCCGCCCGCCGCCCGCCGACCACCAGCCCCGACGTCGACGAGTGCACTGACGGTCCAGTAGATGCCGCCACAGTCGCATCCAACCCCTCCATCAACGTCCCCGACCTCCGCTGACCACCTTGACGCAGCCCGGACCACCTAGACGCAGCTGTCTTCCGCCACCCGCCGCCGACAGGCCACCATCCCCGACGCCGACGCGTGCACTGACGGTCCAGTGGATGCTGCCACAGTCGCAACCACCTTCACCATCGACGTCCCCGACGTCCGCTGACCACTCCGACGCAGACCCGACCACCTAGACCCAGCTTCCTTCCGCCACCGCCGCCACCGTCAATCCGACTGTCGTCTACAGAACAAATTAACGAGCACCTGAAACCTAACCCCAAAATTCATTCATTTTGTTAATTCAAAATCAGTTAGGAGAAGGTACGAGGCTTTAGACCGCCGCCATCGGGCTATGTCGCGCGAGAGAACAGATGCGGCTGGGATTAGGTGAAAATCTGCAGGAGGCGTGAGAATTGGATTCCGGTTGGATAATTGGGGGCTGATTGTTGGGAATTGAATATATTCCAAGGGCTTTATTGCAATTTATTAAGTTTAATATATTAAAAATTTGGTCTTTGCGTCAAGTTTGCATTTAATGGAGACATAATTAGTATTTTAATACTTTATATATTTTATTTGCTAAAAATTAAAATGATACTTTTTTTTTATAAAAATATAACAAAATAATAATAATTTTTTGTTTTTTTATATAAATTTGACGTTCCGTAAAATCGATTATTTGTATAAAAAAACACGACATCGTATCGCAATACCGATTTCTGGAAAGTAAAAAAAATATAAATCTAACCGAAATAAAATTTGAACCAAAAAAATTATTTCGTTCGATCTCGTTCGATATTGTACATTCTGGTAGCATAAATGTGCAATTCATATAACCTTGACGTGCGCTCGAAATACTAAAAAAAATATAAATAAAAAAATAATAGTATTTTTTTTCATATTGTTCGGTCGCTTCGGCTATTACATTTATTTTAAAAATAAAGCGACGTCGAATTGAAATAACAATGATTTTAGAAGTACAAGCGGATAATCAAACCAAATATTAATTTTTGAATCGAAAATTTTAGTTCGATCGGGTTCGGTGCAATCCGATGGTCATTAATGTGCAACTTATCTAGCACTATTGGGCACTTACATTAAAGACATTTTTAAAGATATGTTCATGACTAACAAGATTATCTAAATAATAAAAATATTTTTTATATTTAAATTGTAAAAATATATTTAGTATTTTTAATATTTACATTTAATACTTTATATTCTTTGGTTGAAAATAAATAATATTTTATATATAAAAATTGTTTTTTTTATATTGTCAGTGGGTTCGTTTATGTTGATTAGTTAAATAAAAATAAAGCCGATATCGAACTTAAATGATCAACATTTTAAAAAGAAAAGTAGATAATCGAGCCGAAATATAGGATTTCCAATAGTAAATTTTAGTTTAATCGTTTTCATTTACTAATGTTCAATCTCATAGTCAATAATGTGCAATTCGTATAACACAGATGTGCACTCACAGCTCAAGAATATATGCAAAAATAATAATAGTATTTTTTTTATATAATTCAGTTGTTTGGTTATTTCGTTTTTTTTACAGGCCGATATTGAACCAAAATAACCGAATTTTTGAAATTATAAAAATATATTCAAATCGAAATATAAAAATTTTAGTTTGGTCGGTTTGGTTCAATATTGTGCAATCTAATAGTCATAAATGTGCAACACGTATAATACAAATGTGCACTCATATAAAAATAGATATTGGAGTGGAAATATAAGATTTTTCAATTGTAAATTAACTTCAACCGGCACATTTCTTATGTTAAAGTGCAATCTCAAAGGCACAAAATGCAACCTATTCGTTATTAAAGTGCATATGTCCAATATTATACATTGCTATGTTAAAGTGCAATCTCAAAGTCACAAAAGTGCAACATGATCAACATTAAAGTGCAATGTGTCCAACATTATATTAATATTTTATATTAATTTTATTTAATATTTATTATTTTTTTTAATATATATGTGTATCTTCGTGGACAATAGAGGAAAAAAAAGCATAAGCCATGTACAAAAATTAAAAAGTTGCATTATTTAATAAAGTAACATGTTTTGCTTATTACGCGTGCGAAAGAAGAGAACAACCCCGGGTTAAAAGGGCTGTCCACTTTCTACACTTGATGCAAGATATTAAAGTTTTTTAAATTACAACTAAATCCCTGTGAGTTATCTAATTTTCAAAGTGAAGTCCCTAGACCAAACCCAAATTCCCAACCTGATCCATACACCCCAAACACGATTCCTGTCCATACACCCGCGATCCATCGCCCCCAACCCCATTTTGTTTCATTGGCACAGTGACCAGATACACGGTGCGGCGGCAGGATCTATACGGCAACGGCAGGATTTTGGACGGCGGCTTTGACGATGCTCAGCCGCCGGAACTTGGCTGCGTGGGTGGCTCATAACAGGCGGCGAAAAACCAAACTTCCACGTCGACGACGAGTGGGACGTGGCGCTGTCCGTATGGCCGTTCTGCGTTTTTCTGGTGGTGATGGCGCTCGTCAGCCTGAGGGCTGGAGTGGTCGTGGCGGAGGTAACGAGATTCAAAAATGGGGGCGGTGGTGGAGTCGATCGAATGTACCGGGCGACGATAGCATCGACGACGCTGTAGATGATTACGAATTGTACAGACACGGCGGCCGGCGAGAAGTACGATTTGAAATTGGGGCGAGGAATAGGCGGCGGGAACCTTCGATCGGGGCGAGGAATAGGCGGCGGTAACCTTCGATCGAGGCGAGGAATAGGCGGCGTGAACCTTCGGTCGGGGCGAGGAAAAGGCGGCGGCAGATTAGTGGCAGTCGGTCATTGCCGGCGGCGTGATGTGCAGCAGCGGTGGAATGATTTATGAAGGGGGAGGACAAGTTAGGTGAGAGGATTTGGTAGACTGACAGGGAAAAAGAGAATAGCCACGGTAGAGTAGTGCTGTTGGGGTCCACATGATTTAATGAGAAAGTAAAATGTCTATTACACCCTTCTCAATTCTGTAACCCTTATTTATTATCAATCGTCCGATCATATTATTTTAGTGGTTATGATGTATTCTTATTTCTTTCACTACAAACCTTTCTCATGTGAACCTAACCCTGTTAAAATATATCTATATCTATTAATTTATCTATTTATTTATTATTATATAACAAGGTAAATAATTTAATTAAAATAGTAATTAACTTTTTGCCTAAATAATTTGGAAATTACTGGTTTTTTTTTTTAAAAAAAAAATCAAGCTTTCAGTTGAGTTTGAATTTCAAAAATTCAAAATATTTTCCAATAACACTAATTCATTTCTATATTTATATAACCAAGAACCATATATATTTGGTAAAAGATCCATATATATGGATCATTCATATAAAATAATTTATGGTATATAACAATTTCATATTATATTTCCTCTTACCGAAAAACAAAATTATACTAAGTAAATCATATGACAATGCATATAATTAATTTTTATTAAATATCATAGTGGAGACTCATCATATTCAAACAGACATTGATTGTTTTTTTTATATTTTTTTTTATTTCCACAGTGAGATGTTTAAATATAAATAATTATATATAAAAAATTTATTTGAAATTTTAAAAACGAAATAAGTTA